CACACACACACAGATCTAGATATATACTTAATTGCTTCGTTGACTCGAATTACAATAGGCAGAGATTGCAGCCAATTTATACACGTGCCAGTTGGCTAAAGGCGGGCAAACAGGAGAGAGGTGCAACCCCTAAGCATTCATGCACATTCTGTCTCTCGTAATCTGCTCTGCATTACAGATGCGACTGCCATGCGACCCGAGGAAGCATTTCTGTGAGCCAACTGACTGGCTAAATTTCTCTACCATTAAATTATTCAGCCAAATCGCCGTCGTTAATTCGATCACTCGGCAGTTGACGCTTGAGAGCGTGTTTTAGAGTGTCTTAGAGTGTTTTAATCTTGAGCCTTCGCCATCCTTAATAGTGAGGCCACTCCTGTGCTTCCTTTGTAAACTAGATATTAACTATGACTTGTATATTTCCTATTTGCCGCTGTAAACTGTATATACACGACTTATGCACAAATAAACATCTTGAATCTTGAGTCTTGAGGTGCACAGTGGGACCGCCTAGCGTACGATTACCGGATTATCCATGCACAGCTTCGCGCGCCGGCCGCTGAGCCGGCGGGCGTATACAGGTACCTATTACCTGGCCGTTGACTCATCATTACCCAAAACAGCATCGTGATTACGTGGCCATTACATGGTCTGCTGACAAACCAGTCATTATAACGGTTTAATTTCTGCTCGTTCGTCCCCACAGATGGTGAACTTCTGGTGCTGTGTAGCTTTGCCAGCGGGGAGCGACCAGTCTCATTTACCTCCTTATTCATCTCGCGTTTCCCTTTGAGTAGCGCGCGCGCTTTTCTGAATGTGGGCAGGTATAGAGAGCGCAGACCCGCAATTTGAACGAGAATGCCTGAGCTAGCGGGGATCCACTTTCGGCGCGCATTGTTCCCGCTAGCATATCAACTAAGTGTAAACTTATTGATGTTACTTCACAAACGGCGGCACAATAGCGGCGTTTATCGGCTGCATTGCGTAGGCGCATCACGTTCACGGATACAAGGAGCGACGTGTATATAACGCCTTCTATCCCCCACCCCCACGACATGTGTAACATGTGCACGAAAAAACATTTATTCAACACAATTGTGCTAAGCACAATAACAGGATTTTTGTTACACAAGCCATATAAAGTGATGTATTCGATTATTACTATAGTAATTACTTAGTAAAGCGTCGCGCATGCGCAGAACCCATGAATACAATTACATTATTGACATTGTGGTTAAATGCATTCGGGGAAATCAACAAGCGATACTTGTGTATTATTTTATTTAGCGTCGCGCACGAAATAGAACAAATTGAATGCGCACAGCCACTTGTGAAAATCTGTTACAACGAGCGCGTTAACCAATCGGGTGGAAGTTAAGCCGAGGCGACTGAACACACACTAATCCTATAGCCAGTTATAAGCTGTGGGAATCTCTCTGCAAGTGCCACTACAAAGCTCGTCAATTTGTCGGGAGTAGATTTATTGGCGCCACGCAGATAGAAGTGGTTTTTCAAACGTAGACTACGAATATCCAAGATAAAACGTACTTGCAAAATTGCTGCGGGAATTGCCTATATTGGACCCAACTACTTTCAATTCATTTTTTTCCATGTAGAGGATAATGCGATATACTAATGTTTTATAATAATACGATACCCGATATAGGATGTCATAATATTAGTACGCTGTATGATATATATATATATATATATAGTCTATAATATGACAACACATATAATATTAATATAATATATTATAATTACATTATATATAATTATATCGTATTATATTATATAGTCTATAATATGACGGCACTCTGACGGACTGCTAATATGATCCAAATTTGCGCAAACGCGGAAAAGACGCCGGTAACAAACTTTTCAACTAAATGAACGTTGGTTGCTAGACGTCTATTAACAGTGGGTAACACATAACGTGTGCCAGAAGTTGACTTGTTACTCGAAGCCCAGGATACATGCAGGGAATTGGGTAGGCACCTAGAATTTTAAGCGCAGTTTCAGTTAGCGAAACGCGCACGCGCGCACACATGCACACAACGATTATTTACACTCAACAGGTTACGAGATGTTAACGGTCAATATAAAATGTTCGTTGTTACTCCTGCCAAATCACACTAAGCAGTGAACGCGCGCATTCACATGTAGATTACGGGTCTGCATACGTACCTCGGCGAAATTTATTTTAGGAACCACAACGCGGTAATTACGTATAAGCATTTTATACTCAGGAAGTTTCGCCAAACTCCCTCTCTCTCTCTCTCTCTCTCTCTCTCTCTCTCTCTCTCTCTCTCTCTCTCTCTCTCTCTCTCTCTCTCTCTCTCTCTCTCTCTCTCTCTCTCTCTCTCTCTCTCTCTCTCTCTCTCTCTCTCTCTCTCTCTCTCTCTCTCTCTCTCTCTCTCTCTCTCTCTCTCTCTCTCTCTCTCTCTCTCTCTCTCTCTCTCTCTCTCTCTCTGTCTTCCCCTCTCTTTCACTCAACACGCCCAGCGGCACATGAAAGAAACAGTTTACCTGCAAACGAGACAATTACGCGAGCAAACATTCACGGCAGTCTTGCACCGCTCTCGAGGAGAATCGACAGATGATGTCCCCGACAAGTGCCGATGAAATCTTTACAATCCGCTACTCAAACGTGCCGGAGTCGACGCACTCGGATTTAGGCTGGCGACAGGCGCAGCGACTCCGTAAGTGACTTCGCGGCGGCGAGCATCTGGAGAGCTCGAGGTTTCAGACTTTGCGGTACCAAGTTGACACTTCAGGCGTGTGCTACGCTAATAAGTTCCCCGCCTTCCTTTCCATTCGCTGCGTCATTGCTGACAGAGCGTAGAAATGCCCGCGTGGTTGGCAGCCGCGGTCTATATACGTTAGCGGTCCCGGACCGCAGTGTTCATATGAGTTGCGGCCTTCTATACTACATTTATGATATCGAGCTAGAGGGTAATGATTAAGCAAAGAGCGAGTTACATTAGGGACCAGTCTATGACCCGGTGTTACCTTGCCGCGCAGCTAGCGGTACGCTCGGGCGTGTACTAGTACATAAATGAGTTCTGAACAGAAAGAGATGAGGGAAATTTACAACGACAATTATCTGGACTAAATCCATTCTGGACATCCGTGGTTGTGATAGGAAAGTAGTAGAAAGGGTGTGCTGAAAGTCACGTAGATATCGCTCATGTTTTCCCATGAATACTACAAATAGAACAACGAGACCAATGAGAATCCCACATATTGGTTTAGTGATTTATTGAGCTTAACTCAGTAAAATGATTTCAAACGTTACCTCAACACGCATAAACCTCCGTCCCTAATTTTCTGTTAATATCTTACACACTCCAGAGACATTCACAGAAATGAGCGCAATATTTGCGAAATAATCCTACTATTTAATTCGGAGAAGCCATTGCTCGTCAAATAATAAACTGATATCTAACGTCAGAAAATTCTTGGTGCTTTTACTATATTTATAGTTAAATCTAATATAATACAATGTAATATAATGTAATATAATATAAAATCAGAAGTGGATAATAGAGATCTCTATTATCCACTCCTGATAATAATATTATAATATAATATAATATAATATAATATAATATAATATAATATAATATAATATAATATATAATATAATATAATATAATATAATATTATAATATGAATAAAGATACTTATATAGATATAATATAATATAATATAATTATAATATAATATAAGTATAAATAATAGTATATATAAATATAAATAATATAATATAATATAAATAATAAATATAATATAGATATAGTATATATGATATGAATAATATAATATAAATATATATATAATATCAAGCAGCTAATAAATAGCGCATCGCGTTGCGCGCATCGCACTATATATTGCAATGACTATATAACACGATGAGTCATTTAGTTCGTTCATGGTTGTTCATTTCTGTCTTACAATTCGACGCATAGTTCAGGCGAAAGTCAAGTCCATTTCTTGCGATAGGTCATGCACTGGTCCGGCATGCGCTCCCTCTGACACGATGGGTCTAAATTTCAGGCCTGCAGCTATTTGGCGGACACTCAAGCGAATAGTTTCCTATTTATAGGCCATTTGTGGCGATCCGGTCAGGCCTTCATAAAGATCTACGCACAGAATAATCTTGGCAAATCTCCGACGATGAATTGCCTTCCAATTGTCATTCCGGTAGACGCATCACTTAGCGTTTAATCGCCCCTTTTAATAGTTTCGGCTATCGGTCTGTCAGCAGCCATTAATTCTGTAGTGCGACCATTCTGCGCAACAAACCGCGCGCTTCGCCGGATACTCTTAACTTATACTCTGCGCGCGTGTTTGCCCGGACAACGCGCGGACCTGCGAGCGCGTATTCGCAGCTTTTTCGTGTTTGCCACGCATGGACATAGCCATCGACGCTCTTGTGCGGCTTCGCTACACGAAGACGCGAGCGCGCAGCTATACTGAGTATGGCTCGTTCTGTCTCGCTCGTCGCGTGTACGTTTCGGCGGCATCTCTATAATCCCCACGAATCTCAGCTGCGGCTCATTCTGCCGAGAACACCGTCTTTTGGCGTTTAACATGGCCGATATCGCCTATACGCTTATACGCTAAACTCGCGCTCGGTGTTGGCGAAGCCCGTCGTGTTGGCGAACATGGGCGACGGATCAACGAGCCGACGCAGCCGTAAGAGCGAACACCAAGCTCGTCTGCCGTCGACAATCTTCACGACGATTAGCATTCCGGCTCGCGACAGTCGGGTCATGGCTCGAGCCGACGAGTCAGCCGACGCCACAGCGGCAAAGTCTCATCGATATCGGATTGATCCATCGACAGAGATGTTCTCTCGTGCTGGCAGTGGTAAAATTACAGACCGCGCTGGCCGAAGCTATCCGCGTAGTAGTAAACACATTGACGGACATATAAGTTGACGATCGTGGTTTCCTTACTTACCACGACCGATGCGCCCGCCCCCGCGACGGACTGCGATGACCGACCGACCGTATCCGACCGAGTCCGCCCGATCGGGATGCCCGACCGACCGACGCGACCGACCCGACGCGACGGGACGGACCGCACCCAGACCGCCCGAATCCGACCCGACCTGCCCGACGGATATGCCCGATCCGACCGACCAGAACCGCCCGACGGACGACGCGCCCCGACCGCCCGACCGACCGACCGCCCTGACCACCGACGCGCCCGGCGCCGCCCGACGGACTGTGCCGCGAAGCCGCGCCGTAGACCGACCGACGCAGGCTCCGCCCCAGCCGCGACGGACTGCCTCGACCCGCTCCGACCTGGACGACCCGACCGACCGAAGCGGAGCGAACCCGACGGCGACCTGACCGACCGACCGACGACCGACCGACCGACCGGACCGACCGACCGACCCGACGCGACCGACGCAGACCGACGACCGACCGACGCGGACTCGACGTCCGACCTACCACCCAAATTCCGACCGACCGACCGAGCGACTACCACCCAATTACCGACGACCAACCGACGGCGACCGTGAGCCGATCATTAACCTGACGGCGACCAGACTGCCGCCGACCGGACTCGAAGCCTACTGACTCAAACGCGACTCGACCGACCAACCGACGACCGACCGAGCCGACGACACCGACCGACCGACGCGACCGATCAACTGACTGCGAAGTCCGACCGTCCGACCACCGACGGCGACGACACGTCCGACGCGATCGGTCCGATCGGCTCGCGACCGACCGTCCAATCACCGAAGCAGTACCTGCCACGATTCCGGAGCCGACAGACAGATGGACAGACAGACAAATAGATGGTGAGGCAGAAAAACAAACACACAGACAGATAAGTGAGATCATAACAAAGACACAAGAGCCCTCCCCTGACGCCGCGCTGATGTCCGAACACCTTGTGAGTTCTTAGCAGCGGGTGCATCAGCGGACAGCGAAACTCATAAAGCGTTCAATTAATGAATGGGCAAAATGGTCAGAAAGACGCCAGGAACTCACGTAAAATTTACCGCTGCCATATTGGTTTGCCTATTGCTGCTGTTGTTTACTGTTGTTGTCTCTGCTGTCGCTATGCGCGTTAAACTAACCACCAGGTAACGCCTGGTGTCTCTAACTATACATTATATATAGTATATATATTATATATATGATAGGTATAGTATATACTATATAGATAAATAGATTTAAATTAAATTATTTAATTAATATAACAAATAAAAATATTGAGGACTTGTGTGTATGAGTGTTTTGTGTGTATGTGGCGTGGCGTGCGTGGCGTCGCTGTGGCGTGCGTTGCGTGCGCGCATGTTGTGTTGTGTGTGTGTGTGGTCTGTGTGTGTGCGTGTGTGTGTGCGTGTATGTGTGTGTGTGGCGTGTTGTGTCGTGGTGTGGGTTGTTGGCGTGCGTGCAGTCGTGCGTGCGCTGCGGGCGGCATCGTGCGTTAGTGTTTGTGATCTGTGTGTGCATCATATTTTGCCATTAAGCCCGACACACATCACGCACGCACGCACGACACACGATACACAGCATCACACACACACACACACACAGCACACAACACACACACATACTCACACACACATCACATAACACGACACACAGCACATCACACCACACACACTACACAGCAACACACACCCCCACAACACACATATAGAACAGAACTCACAACCACACACACATCACACACATTTCACACACACACACACACACAGCTCTCACCACACACACACATCCACAACACACACAGCACACACAACACACACAGCACACACATTGCATTGTTTCACATACATACATACATACATACATAGCCATACAGACATACACATCACATACATACGATACATAACATACATACATACACGCGGCGCTGTATATATATATATATATAGTATTATACCACTAGTTTGTGGTAAGCCGGCGTTGCGTCGGGATAAACGCTTAGCATCAACTTGGAGACGGCAATATGTCGGACACGACGATATTTACTTAATACATAAGCGGATAAATGGTAACAGAAAACAAGAATATAAGTGCGTATACAATATTCTGTACAAATAACGCGGTAATGTTAGTCAACGCCTGGATAACAATATATTATATTATATCAATATATACTAATATTATTATATAGTAATATGTACCAAATTGGTCATGTTATTTTATGTATATTATTGCCTTCGCCTGTGGGCAAGCCTATGTCTCGCACTTTTAATATCACAACTGGTGACGTGTCTCTCTATCATTTAGGGATTGCGCAATACATCAAAAGAATACAGGTAAAACTTTCATTAGTATTTAAATATTACTGCTATTAGTATGTGCACTGAAGGAGTGCTAATTCTGACTAACTAACGACAGGCAGCATCTAGTGTGCGCAGCGTAAGTAATCACAGAAATGGAAAAATAGGTCGGCAAAGACTCTTACTTATTTGTACAATAATCAAACACGCTACATAGATTAATAACTAAATACATAGGTCAGTAAAGTAAACCCGTCAATAGAGCACCATATCAGATCCGGGTGTAATATACACATAGTTTCTGACTTGGTCCTTTCTTCTTCTTGCTTCTAATACACGATGCGGTATAACAACTTTTTGTCTCTATAATGTAGTATGCAGTATATATATATACTTGCAGCTTACATACAGCTTACTCCTTCTTCTTACTTTCTCAGTTCTTTCTCACTGCTGCATCAAAACTGTCGCACCTTTTACTCTCACATGTGCAACTGACTCATCGATCACTGATCGTATATCTATATTGATAAATGATCTCTGCCATTATATAAAATTAATAATGTTCTTACACGGTCCGATTGCGGCAATACTGCGCGCACTCTTACCATTCTGCTCCATTAAGGAACACGACCGCCCCGAAATCTCAAGTTAAATAACAATAAATATTTAATGAAAACTTACCATTTTAAAAATACATTCATAATATAAATAATATATTATTAGCTCTTGATATATATATATATATATATATATATGTATATGGCCTATATATATGTGTATATATATATATAGTATATATATATATATATGCCCATGAGATAATATACGGTATTATTGCCGCTTTATATAATTATAGTATATGGGTATTAAGCACAACATGCCGTTCGCCAGGCCTCTCCCACAGCTGCCCGACGCTCCTCCAATCAGAGCCGCTACAGGCGTCGCCGCATGATCGCGCGTACTCTGACGGTCGGACCGAGATTCGTGACCAAATAGACGCTGTATGTATTTAGAGGCGTCAAATTCGGTCAGTAATACGGTTGTGGCAAGATTGCGCCAATACTGTTTTGCGCGAATGATATTATGTGATCATATATTATGTGATATATTATGTTATATTATGTGATATTATTAAGTGATATATTATGTTATA